GCTAGGGGAAGAAATCATAAAAATCTAGAAGCTTTCTACTCTCGTATTGTTAAACAAGAATCTTTAAGGCCTCATTCTTCTTTACAGAAAGCAAAACTGAAAATCATGGACAATGCACTATGGGTGTGGTTTATACAAGAAAGACAATGMTGAATTGTGATCAGTGAACCCATAATCAGAGAAGGTTGTGTCACTATATAAAAAAAAAGATGACATGAATAGGTAGGTACATGTAGCTGTTTTAAAGAAAAATAAAATGCTTATAACATATAATTTTGAACAATTCTGTGGTTTAAGAACTTTCTTTTTTTCTTTCCTTTTTTTTTTTTATAAACTGGGGATTAAACCTAGGGGTACTTAACTACTGAGCCACATTCCCAGCCCTTTTCATTTTAAGACAGGGTCTTACTAAATTGCATAGGGCCTCGCTAAGTTGCTGAGGCTGGCTTTGAACTAGCATTCCTCCTGCCTCAGYCTCCAGAGTTGCTGGAATTATATGGCTGTGCTACTAAGTCCGCATTGTGGATTTTTTTTGATCAGTCCTATTAAAACAGGTCAACTGTCTTCTGTACACAGAGGTCCTTCCTGCCAATATATAGATGAAGAAACTGGGGACAAGTAGCTTGTGCAAAGTCATCAGAAGAAGCGTGGACTAGAAGTCAGTTGATTCACTTATCTCATGGTCTCTTCCAATAACACACCACTAACTCCATGGGGTTGCTCACTCAGGCACCTGTCTCCAATAATTAACAAAAAACATGCCTAAATCATTTATGAGCTTTTAGGTATTTAAAAATTTTACATAAAATATTTAAAACTTAAATAATTCATCCCATGGGCATTGGTTCCAGGACACCCCTTCCCATACCCAAATCTGAGGATGCTCAAGCCCTTCCCATAARATGGTATAGTATGTGTACATACTTCCTGTACTTTAAACCATTTCTAGATAACTTATAGTACCTAACCCAGTGAAAATGCTATGTAAATAGAGTCAAAGCATATTGTTTAGGGAATAGAGAGGAGAAAAAAGTCTGTATGTGTTCAGTATAGATGAAATGATTCTCCCCCAGTATTTCAGTCTGTGGTTAGTTGACTGGATGGCTGTGGAGGATATGAAGGGACAACTGTATATACATTTTATTTAAGTACATATTTTAAATAGAAATAAATATTAAACATTGCAATTAAATATGTAAACGTATTTACACTAGAGATATAGCTCTAAAGTGTTGAATAGTTAATATAAAACAGGGCTATAATACACGTACATGCCTAAATGGGATTCCCTGGCATCATGAGGGTTTGGCTCAATCATAGTATTATTTTTTGGGGGGGAAAGGGGGGCTGGGGATTAAACTCAGGGGCAATCAACCACTCAGCCACACCCCCAGCCCAATTTTGTATTTTATTTAGAGACATGGTCTCACTGAGTTGCTTAGTGCCTCACTTTGAACTTGACATCCTCCCTACCTAGCCTCCTGAGCTGCTGGGTCAATCACAGTATTTTAAGTGTGCCCCTCTTCATGTTCCACTCCAGCCTCCCTTGAGGGAGTGCTCAGCTGTGTGTGTCCTGGGGGAGTCACCCAGGCCCACTCCTTCACGGTGGCTGTTCCCCTCTGGGCACGTTACCTCCTCCTTCTGGATGACGCTGATCCTGGTCTTGATGTAGGGGAAGGCGTGCATGGTGGTCAGGACCGTGTTCCTCCGGTACTGCTCATGCAGCTCTCCACGAGGCCGTCCCTCGAGGGTGAAGGGGGTGGTGTACATGAACCTCTGCAGGTTGAAATTCAAAGTAGGTTACCCTGTCTTTCATCTCATACTCATCAAAGTAAGGYTCCACAAAAGTGATCTGTATGTAGGCCTGGAGGGAGAGGCAAGGGGAAGGAGGAGATGAGCCATTCTGCAAAGAGGATCCATGACACACTGAAGGGCGTGCTGGAACAAGGCGCGTGGAAGCTACTGGGGCTGAGCGCATCAAGGGAGCATTCAGAACCGGCAGCTCCTCCTTTCCACCCCAGGGAAAGAAAGGGCCAWGAGGAAGAGGAGAGGAATGTGCCTGTGGGAAGAGTCTGCAACACTAGCCGCTCTTTCCAAGCAGAGCAGACCGATCCAACAGAAGCCTCAGTATGGAGATTTGCAAACTGCTATTCCTAAGAGCCAAGCTTTGTTTTCCAGAGTTACCATGACTGTAACACACTTAGAAAGTGTGCATGGTCAGACTAAGAAAACTAATAGTACCAAGTGCTGGCAGGGACCGAGAGCAGCTGAAACTTTCATGCACAGATGAGGGGATGCAGGATACACAGCCACATGGCAAAACAGGTTAGCAACTTCTCATATAGTTAATGAACTGGCCCTCAGCCCTGCGATCTCATTCCTACCTACACGGGTGTTCAAGAGAAATGAAAACTTATAGCCACACAAAACTCTGTACACAAACGTCGATAATCACATTATTCATAAGACAAAAACTAGAAATAAACCAAACCAAAGGGATAAACAAACGGTGGCACAGGAAGAGAGCAGAATAGTATTCATCAGTAGGCAGGACTGAAC